CTGATGAGTCCCGAACTAGTGGTACAAAACCGCTGTCCAGTACTCCCCGTGGTCAAACTTAAAACAGTGAGAGTGTCTAATCAAATTAAGAAAGATAGATTTCATCATATAACGACATTAGTTAGAGAAATATATATAAAAAATTAAGCAGGCCTGAATAGGTGTTTCTTCCTCGACTATAATCGGATCCAGGAGCATTCACAAAGGACATTCCTATATTAGATCAACTAATGTTGGTTCGTGATGAAAATCTCTTTAAAGTTAATCAAATCCACACAGTGCAACAGCTCGCCAAATGAAGAAAGCTGTGTCTAGCGAAGGTTAAAACTCAAAGAATTGGGGGGGGGGGTGGAGAAATTTCTGTCAAAATCAATAAAACTCTTAGGTATATTTTTTCACTTAATATTAAAAGATACTCACTACTTCTTTAATCACAATTTTTTATACTACCCTATCAACAGGAACTGGTCTATTTATTTTCACTAACGATTCATCATAATGGCAGACAAACAGTAAAGCACTATTTATTCACATGAGAGCTGGGCGTTCCCAATGATGACTGCTTGTTACCTGAGTCTCTTTCTACAACTGATAGAAGGCTGAATGAATAACTCAGAGACAAGTGAGTTTCTTCTGTGGTCATCCACCTAACAATTAACAGTCTTTCAACCTTTGATTACCTCAAATAGTCCCTCCATCCACTATTGGTCAGCTTTAAATGGGATTAACAAGACACTGACACGAAATGACAGAAGTTAGAGCTCATAGCTGAATGATCAATGAGGTCGTAGGTGTAAACTGATGAAGAGTCCTAAAATGGAACGAAACGCCTGATCATTACTTCCGAGATCTCAGTGATCCCCGACAAGCCGCATAATCTTAAGTTCCATCTCTACTACCATTCAAAATATACATAGATCGCAATTTCCAGATAGACTTTTACTATCTTAGTTCACTTTTTTTAATAGATATATTATAAAAATTAAATATTTTTTAAAATTAAATATCTGTAGTAGTACTTTATTACTTATGCACCACTCCTTTAGTTAATAAACCTGTAACACATCTATACAACTGACACACAAACCTAGATTGTATCTGTCCACTGTCGTCTACAACCAACAACTCCAATTCCACCTGTATCTCTCCACACCGGCCTTAACCGAACCCACTCTACCTAATGTGTCTCTTAGTGCAACAACAGTTGCACTGTACTGAAACACTCAGTGAATAAATGTCAATCAGATGGGTTTTTCAGAAGAAAAAAATAACTGCCGATTTTGTTGATAAACATTGAAATTCTCCTCGGATTTACAGTCGCATTCATAAAAGGAGAATTAATCACTGTCATGCGTTTCTTTTTCTCTCATATCTTTTTTGGAGGGGGGGGGGTTGATAGAAGTAAGGGAGGGAGGGAGGGAGATAGATAGATAGAAGTAATTGGAAAGGGACTGACGGTAAAATTGGCTGAAGATGTTTGTTGATAAACTGTATCTGCTATGTATATTCTCTAAAGAATTGTTTAGTTTTTGCTGTAGAAAAAAATAATTCCCTTGTCAACTAAATCAGACAAGCGTTTATGCAGTTTTATGTGTCATACTTTTAGATAGCGATCGATAAGTTTCCTCTTCGACACTTCTCATTATGACGTGTAGAATGATTCCTGAATGGGTCATACACCCACATCTGACTTGATATCACACAGTGATGCAGTATGAATAACTCGTTGACGACCTTTCGATCATAAACTATTGCTCATAATCATAATAATTTAGTCACACGGCTTGAAAATTTGTCTTTTATATATTTCCTATCTTTCTCTCGCCCCCCTTCTTGGCCGTGTTGTTTGGTACCATTTTCCATATCTTCGGTATAGCTGCTGGGTCAGTCCGATTGCACGTGTTGTGCTGTGTTGAATCGATAAACAAATTATTATTATTGTTTTCTTTAATTCCTAGAGGAACATAGGGCTCCAGCCACACCTCTCCATTGCCTTCGGTTCTCTGCTAGAGTTTTCACCTGGCTTCAAGTCTGCCCACATGCTTCCATCTCATAAACACATGACCTCCTCCAAGTCACCCTCACACTGACGACCAACTCGCCGCTTCTCTTTCGGGTTCCACTCGAGGGCTTGTCAAGTGATCACACTTAATGGTTTCTTCAGACTATGACCAATCCATCTCCATTTCTTCCTGCCTATTTGTTTCACAATCGATTCCTGGTTGGTTCGCTCCCAGAGATCTCTGTTGCTGATCTCTTCTGGCTATCTGATCTTGAGTATTGAGCAAAGACCAACTGTTAATGAAGGTCTGTAGTTTGTTTGAAGTGCTCTTCATGACACGCCAAGTCTCTGATCCGTATAGTGAGTAGCACTGACTTCACATTGGAGTTGAAAATCCGGATCTTATTTTTGATGCTGAGTGTTGTTGACCTCCACACAGACTTGAGAGTAGTGAAAGCTTGTCTTGCTTTTCCGATCCTTGCTTTGATATCCTCGTCAGTTCCGCCATGTGTAGTTGAGACGACGCTTCCCAGGTAGGTCTGTAGGTGAAGGAGGTTGTTTCTTTCAGGTTCCTTCCATTTATGCTGATTGTTGTCTGTTGTTGTTGTTCTTGTCCAGGAATCTTCATCACCACATCTGTTTTCTCTGTGTTCACCTGAAGTCCTGTCTTTGACGATAAACAAATACTCAGTGATCAACCTGTCTCTCTCTACCTAATTATATTACTTTTTAATACTCACACCCTGTCCCAACCTATTTTGTGATTACATACAAGTGAGTGCAAGACAATGGGCGAATTTTTTGTAGGTTATTCAACGTAGCAGAGTTTAGATAGATGTTTATGTTCCGATAATCAAATTGACCCCTATCGACTATTTCCACCTTACAAAGTATTTGGTAAATTACACCAGTTGGATCTGTCGAGCCATTAATCTGACAAAGTTTGTCCCGGAGAGAGTATGTTGGTTGGTCGGTTTAAATGGCTCCTTAATTTTAGCCGTATTGAGCCGTATCCTACATGAGGTCTCCGATGTTCCTTCCTCATGCAGTAGTTATTCCCACAACTAATCTAATTTTTTTTTCTATCATTCTTCATACATTTCGGAATCAATCCTGGTGGGTAATTGTTCGGTAGGAATATTTCCTTTATTTGTATGATTTAAATGTTTAAATCTGGCTTATTAGTTAGCCTGGAGGCTCAGATATATGGACATTTAACTAAACCAATCTTTACTAATTCTGGTTGGGACAAATTGAAGTCTGAGGTCTTATTAGAGTGTGTCGGTTTCCTATAAATGCCAGTTAAAAAGCACCCAGCATCTTGTTTTCGTTTTATTCTACAGTTTAGCATTGCCAATTCACCCTGTCCATTTTTCTAATTCAGAAGTGAATTGAATTCCGTCTAATATTCAGTTTATATGTGGAAAAAGATGAGGGATATGTTCAGATTTCAACACAATAGTGAATGTGTCATCCATATATTTCCGCCATAGCCTAGGTGGAGCAGGATTAAGTGTTCTAAGAGCCTTATGTTCTCAACTATCCATAATTGTATCTGTTACTACTATTGCAGATATTATTGATAATCAACAGCTAGTGGTGGTCAAACGAAACATTGGATCAGTCCATGAAATCTTCGACACTCAGTTTTAGCCTAACCCCTAAGGAAGTAGAGACTGCCTGATTGAGGTCCTTAGGACTCTACAAACCGATGACTGGAGACTATTGACGAAGATGTATTCACTATTTAGGATCTGTCTTATATCCATTTAAACTTTATTGTTTCCCCCTGACATGTCGGTTGAATTATCTTTCTTTCGAATCGTTGTCTTCCTCTCTTATATCTTCTTTTGCGTGGCAAGCTGATCTACTACACTTCTATGATCAGTTTTATGTTGAAACCAGTCAGTCAGTCGGTCAGTTAGTCTAGTATACATCGTCACGCTATTCAACAATTTATTTTATAAAAATCGATAAACATACCAGGTTTTCAAGTGTTGGTTTGTAGGGATTTGATTGGTTACAGGATTTCATAATGAGCTGACATTAGTTAGAGAACCACTGGAAAACCTGCAACTGCTGTACATATGTTTCGTCCTAGTTTGGGACTCTTCATCAGTAGACACCCACAGGGGTTCAAACCCAGGACCTTCTGGTTACAAGGCGAGCTCGTAGACCATTAAGCCACAGGGATCTGATCCAGAGGCTAGCCCGCGAACACTTACTCCTGCCAATTTATGACATAGCGCGACCCGTAGCCAATGTCTTCGGCGAGTATTTGTTCTCACACCCGACCTGCTGCACCCTACTGGTCACGACTTCTCACTGGAACCCCAGGTAACTACCTACCTGAATAGGGCAAGTCGCTAGTAAGCATCTCATTGATATTCAAATGTTGGTTTTCATTAAATAATCCATAAATATACAAGTTCATGTGCATCGGTGGCACAGCGGTAGATTGCTCGACAACCATGCAGGTAGTCCGGCGTTCGATCCCCGGCCCCAAAAGCACTCCTTAATCTCGCTAAACCAGTAATAAGACTGATAAAGAAGGAAGTTTGGGCATGAGGTTAGAAACCCCATCCTATAAACATCAATACCACTGCTACAGAAACTTCAAGCCTCTAGCTTGAATCAGCCCTATATTCCACTGAAAACTTAAAGGAATAAAAACTTTTTTAAAAGAATACAGGTATATATTCTTACAAACGTATTTGCATACTTTTCCGAAGTTCATTCACTCCTAAATTTTTTTTTGCATAGTTGATTGTGTTACACAGATTTCCGTGAGTTCAGATGTATATATATAAATATATATATTCCTTGAGTCAGCTTAGTGTCAACTGAGTACTATCCTGTTTGAAACTAAACAGACTTACCTACTTATCTGGGATAAGAATAGATTAACGCACTCACAAACACACACGCACACATCTCCAATCTAATTGATTTACCCTTAACTCTTGATCATACATTCTCTATCCTGAATTTTCCCTAGAGTAGCAACAACAGCAACAACAACAATAACAAAAAATAAACTAGATGAAAAACGGGGCACAAGAAAACAAAGACAGATTGCACAGGAAAAGAAATCTGAAAAGAAAAAAAAGAAAACGAAATAAAACAGAATTAAAATGTAATAAATTTTGTTTATCTATAATGAATTGTTCCCTAGTTACCTTTTCCTCCATCATTTACTCGCAATCTCTCGCTCTCCCCCCGCCACACATACACACCTGTACACTTTCTCTCCATCTCCTCACCCTCCCATTCTCTGTCTCTTTCTCTCTCTCTTTATGTCTTTATATTTGCCGCTACTTCCTTCAACCTTGTTCAAGTTTCAATAGTCAATAAGTAAAACACCATATCAGCTTAGAGTTAACTGAGAAATAGGGTAGTTAGCGAAACTTATTTATAACTGCTCGTGATAAAATCAAAATAGAGTTAGTTAATGTGAAGAGTTGATTGAAGTTTAGTGTAGCAATCAATGAGTTTTACTCTAAATAGGAATTGAGGTCACCCACAGGTAGCAGTAATGTGGCCCAGGGAATGATCTCACTGACTTAGAATATGCGGATGATATAGTCCTTCTATGTGAAGACGGGATCTTCTGAATACCTAGAGCTGCAATCTGCTAATGTTTGGCATGCGATTCGCTCCCCTTGTCAATTGTAAGGTGATGCTACAGGAGTGGACTGGACTACATTTGCTCCTAGCTTAGAAATAGGGAGTGAAGTGGTTGGTTGAGCGTGTTGACCACTTCACTTATTAGGGAAGTTGCATCAGCCAGTGCCAACGGGTTGATCGCTGATGAAATCTCAACATGGATGCAGAAGGCTCGTCTCGCATATGCCAGTTTACTCCATCTCCGGAGTAGACGTGATACCCGAGTGACCATCGACCCCATCCTCCTTCATGGCTGCGAGACCTGGTCATTGGCAGTCGAAGAGATGAAAAACCTGGCTAGCCGTCTTTGATCACAGGTGCCTGCGTTCCATTTCGCGTGTTAGGTGGTATAATAGGGTGAGCGATATTGAGGTTTGGCGTCGAGTGCTAGGCTAGGAGAGGAAATCAATGGATGAAGCTGTGAACTTACATCGACTGAGATGGTTAGAACATGTGTTACGCATGCCTAGACATTGGTCGCCTTCCTCGACGAGCAATGTTAGCTGACATAGGGTCAGGTTGGAAAGAGCTAGTGGTGGTCAAACCCAAACATGGCACCAGTTAATGAAATCCACAACAGTTAGTTTAAGCCACGTGGGAAGATGTAGACTTCCTTGTTGGGGTTTTCGGGACGGTAAAAACCAATGAAAGCTGAAGCCAATCGGTGATATGGCTCAAAATCATTCCTGGTGATGGCTGGCGCAGATGCATCCACTCCTTGTGACTTATTATACCCAATAAAACTATAATGTTCTTCGATATTATTATTCTTTTTGCCTCATATCTCTGTTAACTGTCTCTATTATGCGATTCTTTTTACTTTCTTCTTCTCTCGCTTTGTGTGCTGAGTGAATTTTGACGACTTGAACTGCTGCACGTCTATGCAAACTTCCATAGCTAAATAGTCAACGAACTTGCTTTGTAACTCGGAGATTGTGACGTCGTGGATGTGTGCTGTCGAAGAGTCCCAAACTAAGACGAAACCACTATTCAACAAAGTCTAGTTTATCCGTCGTCAACCACACTCTTAGTTTAAGTGTGATTGCTGGCTACAAACGAGCTCCATAACCTCGCCTAGCCAGTAGTATGGTAGACTAGGAGGGTTGGTTGGATATGGAAAATAAACACTGCTACTGAGGTTTCAAAACTTCAAGTTTGGAACCCTATGTTCCCCTTAGGACGCAAATAAATGAATCAAAGGTACCGAGATTTTAGAAGTTTGTATTCCATTCTTAGAGGAGTTATGCCATCTGTTGACCAAAATCTATAGTTTGCAGTATCTTTTGTTAATCTCTTGAAAACAATACCAAGACATTATTTATTAATTAAAATTGTTAATCAATGGTCATCATTCTCAAAGGTCAGATGTGACCTTAATGTTTAACAACTACTATTTCAGCTAATATGGCCATCTGTCCCCAAGTATATAGACAAAAACTCATCGACCAGACGTAATACACTGAAGCTTTATTTCAGACAATATATAGTACAGAAATTTTCAGCGTATTTATTGTTATTATTTTAATTTTGTTCCTTTACTTTCCCAGTGGAACATAGGGCTGATTCAAGATAGAGGCTTGAAGTTTCTGTAGCAATGGTGTTTATTTTTACGGAATGGGGTTGCTAGCCAGCCTCATGCCAAGGTTTCCCCCTTTACCACTCTTATTACTGGCTTAGTGAGGTAAAGGAGTGCGTCTGTGGCCGGGGATCGACCCCCGGACCACCTGCGTGGTTGGCGACGCCAGGGTATTTAGAGCCAAAATATTTCGTTTTCGTACAGGATTCACTTGTTAAGCAACAATCGGAATTATATCATCTGATGATGCGTTGTTGCACACTATGAGAGAACCAAATCAGTAGATTTATTCTACATTACCTTCAAGAATTGCACAGCGTTTACCTGGAAGCTAATTAAAAATATGCGCGAGTTCACACTGTGATCATTTGATATAATTGCAAGATTAAAACAATTAGAAATTCTGGTAGCCTAGCGATTTAGGCAGGCCGCCACCGTCTGAAAGCAGGTTTCTTCAACCTGCTAGCTCCACCTCAGTTTTGAATACTAAGATGCAACGAAGTGTCTGTTAGCGAAATGCCATGAAGCACAATTATTTGCCTCTAAGCATTCAAAGTTGAGGTGTAGCTAAAAAGTTGGAGAAACCTGTTTTCTCTCCGCAAAATTCAAAATGGATTCACTCACCAATTTCGAATCATTTAGGTGATATGATATGTTATTATTTGTTGTTCCTTTGGGTTCCCAGTGGGACACAGACTTTCAGCAATACCTACAGTCCTCTTTACCTGGCCCCACAAATCTGCTCTATGTCACCATAAGGCTACACGTCAAAGTCGTTGTTTCTCATTCCAGTTCCACTGGAGCGATGGCCTAGCAGGTGATGTCACTGCATGTCCTCCTCAGCGTGCAACCAATCCATCTCCATTTTCTCCCATATATTTTTTGAGCAGTCCGTTCGTAACTGGTTCATTCCCAAAGATACTTATTGCTAATTATTTCTCGTTGGTCACATGGTCTTCAGTATGGAGCTAGCAAATGGGGAAGCTATTGATGAAAGTCTGCTTGTTGGAAATGCTTTGGTGATGTGCCAGCCAAGTCTCTGAACCATGTAGAAGAAGTAATTGACTGACTGACTTAACATTCCTGCTGAAAATCAGAATTCTATTGGTTATACTCCGGTGAGGCGGAGAGGATTTCCAAACTGATTTCAAGTTGCTAAGTGTCTATCTTGCCTTTCCAATCCCTATTGGTTTTGACATGCTGACCCATACTGTAGCCTGTAGCTTAAACTATGCTGTCTAGCCAGATAAATGATGGAAGTGACCTCTTTCAAACTACTCCAGTTGATAATGATATGTTTTTACGAGTTCTGCCAGACAGCTGTTTCATCCTAGTTTCGGAATCATCGTCAGTACACACCCACCGCCAGGGTTCGAACCCAAGACCTTCCGGTTACAAGGTAAGCTGGCTCGTATACCATTTAGCCATTGAAACGCGATTCAATGGCCGCTAGTGGACGGAGTTTCCTGAAGTTCTAGTGAGAAGTCCTGACCTGTAAGGGTTAACCAGTCAAGCGTGAGGATGGATTTCCCACCGATGATATTGGTTGGTTGGTGGTCTCACTAAATCATGAATCCGTAGAAGTTAGAGTTCATGAACTGGCCATTAAATCGGGTCCCAGTGGCTGAGTTTGCCTTGTAACTAGAAGGTCCTCGGTCCGAACCCTGGTGGTGGGTATGTACTGCTGATGATTCCCACATTCGGACTGGGGAAAAGCTGTCTAGCAGTACTCCCTGCTTGTTTTCAATGGTTCTCTAACTGATATCAATCCATGGTCAAGCCGTGTTGAACTAGAAGAAGAGTAGTGTAGATTCTCATCCAGTTGAAAGTTTGTTAGTTTTGTGTTCACAGACTGTCATTGTTTTTGTTTCTTATTGCTTCTAATGTTCTTAATGACGTCCATAAATATGCTGTGTTGAAATGGTATTTTTTAAAAACGACACATAAAACCAAATAAGGATTTGTTATTACATCGCATGTTAACAATGTGATAACAAGTCGACAAGAGAAAGCGTCACCATATCGACTGTTGTTTTTACTAGCAAAGTAGGCAGTGTCACTAGCGTATTCAATACAACTGACTTCTCTCTCGCTCTCTCCCTCTCCTTCACACTGACATTCATCTTACCCCTTTCCCACTTGTAAGGTAAAACTTTTTGACAATAAAAGTCACTCATCATATTTTGACGACAATAACAGAAGCAACAAAAATGCATTTTTTCAAGATGTTGTTGTTGCTGTTGTTGTTGTTGAGTTTACAACATTAGTTGAAACAGGAGTTTGACAAGTACAAAAGTGTCATCTGTAAAGTAAATGACTAGAGTTTTGAGTGTTAACATCCACACACACACACAGTAGGATATTCACACTTTCTCTACAGTCACCACTGTCAGTGTCAATAAATGTCAGTTGTCATCGTTAGAAACCGTATTCTCTCGTATACTGGTACACACCACTGTCGCGTGTGATGTATGTGCGTGTATATAGGTTCACATGTTTCATTCAAACACACATAGGCACACGAGAAAAACCTCTAACGCACACCAAATGTTAAAAATTAGAAGCACAAAAGTGCAGACAATAATATGCTTGAGAAATTATATATAAATGACAATTAGTCGTGATTATTGTTTTCGCTTTTCGCGTTTTACTTTTTACTTTTTTTCAGCATAAAATCGACACCATAGATGTCATTTTAATGAATTACAGCATTTCTCCACTGACTATTCTTCTAGTTAAATAAATGTTTCGAAAGGGAAAAAAATTCATAAGTTTAGAATCTACTACTGATATTACTGATTTAGATATATATAGATATTTTTTTAAAGTATTTTTCTTGTATTATTGATATAAGTATACAACTTGGGCATTGACACACAGTGTTTGTAATACAG